CCTATTTCTACATAACTCAGTGCAATACAAAACGCTATTAGCAAGCTACTTTTAAACTCTTGTATATAAAATCTTTATGTAAATGCGACGTAACTGATTAGAAAGAGACAAAATGTATGAAAAAGCGTTGTTTCTATAACAATATTTTTTTGTACAGGTTATTCGGTGTTGGATTATGAAAAAGTAAAATTTATTTAATTAGCTTGGTTTAAGGATAATTGTATCAAAATATAAAAAAGTCTCTTATATTCAATGACAAAACTGGCGCCAAAATGTCACAATATACTTTTGACACCTGTCACAACGTAGATGACATTAGTGATGTCCATTTATATACCGGAAAAAACCGGTATTTTTTTACAGATTTCGATAGTTTTAATTTCGTTTACTTTTTTATGATGTATTGTGACGTATTTGTGCTTTATTTGACAGTTGTAAAAATATTTAATCTGTATTTGCTAATATTGAAGGGGCTGTATAGCTAACGGCTTCGCATGTTTAAAAACATTATTGTAGAAATGCTAGTCTTTTATATTGTTAATGTTACTTATATTGAGAAATAATTGACTACTAAAAATATAATTGTGGTAGAAAAAGTAATTAATGTTAAAAAATACGATTTAAACGTGATTTTTTATTGACATTATTAAAAAAAACTTAATAAGTACATAAAAGAAGTTTTTGTTACTTATCTTGTCGTTAAAAATAGAAAAAAAATTGTCAAATTGGAAAATAGAACAAAAAAATAAAAAAAAAACTTGTCTCTCATGTTACGAATTGTTCTTGTATTTAATTGTTACTAAAATTTTGTATGGTTTAAATTTAGTAACGTACTTGTATACTGAAATTGTATAATTAACTAAAATTGTATTCACTTTTGTTAAAGGTTAGCATGTATGAAGTGTTACAAGCGAAAAAACATTTTTTGATATTTTTTTAATCTTGAACAATCAAAAAATATAGTAAAAATTTAAAAATAGCTTTATTGCAATAAATAAAATATGTATATTGATGTAAAAAAAACTCTGAAAGATTTTTTTTTTTGCTATTTTTTAATTATCTTTAAATGTTTTTCGTTTGTAATGCCTTTTTTATTTAATCTATGGCTGGCATGTGGTGGAGGTTTTATTAGCATGGCTCGGTGCATGATTTTTTTACAATTTTTTGTATATTAGAAGGATTTTTGTAACTTGCTACATTTAACCTACCAGTTGGTAGATTTTAGTAGGAAATTTCTATGTAGATTTCATGTTATAATAGTTATTGATTTTTTTAGGAATATTCTAAGATGTTTTTTTATATGTAAAATGGTTTCCAAAGTCATATAATAATTTAGATACTAAATTAAACGTGAGTTGTTACTTAAAAATCTATAAAAATGAATAAACAACTAAAAATTAAAAAGTAAACATTTTTTGTCGTAATAAGTAGACTACATTATTTTAAATAAAAAAAATACATTTGATTTCCTATTTAATTGCATGTATATTCCTAAAAATATAGCGTTAATAATCGCTTTCCCTCGCTTACATCAAAGTGACATAAAAATGTTGCCATAAAATAAATTCTCCCTAATTCCAGGTGGAAATCACCCCCTGGCATTCAAGTATGCACAACATGGGAATGGTATTTAACAGAACTGTGTGGAAAAATATAATGGAATTGCAGGAACAGTTTTGTGCATACGACGATTACAATTGGGATTATTCCTTACTTCATTTATCCCAGAATCGACCGAAAAGGGATAAATTCAAAGTTATTTTATGTAAAGGACCTCGTGTATTCCATATTGGAGAATGGTAAGTTAACTCAGTGTTAGTTCCTCTGGGGCTTAAGCAATAAAAACATGTCCTGGGTTCGAATCCAGATTTGTTCTGTTTTATGTGGGTTTGTTATGAAAATTACTTTGTAACAGCATACAGCATAAACCATTGAACAAATTCAGATAAATGAGGTGTCATAAGATTCGACTTCTTCTCCGGAGTGTCATAGAGTATATTATAATGACACAAAACGTATACAGTGGATGTGAGAAGCCGAATACTGGAAAAAAAAATTGAAAAAACCGAGTTCGAATTTCACTTGCAATAACTTTTTTGTTTGTTAATCCATTTTTTTGTGTTTGTTAATATAATAATCTATTACATTAAGTCAGTATGGTTTTTTATATATCACTTTTCCGTATTCAATAATGCCTGGTTCACACTTGGCCAATACAGTTGGACAATTGCCTTCGTCATAGATAAAAATAAACGTTTATTTCCACACAAAAATATGCAAAAAAGAATACTAATAAACTAATGTTAACATCAAAAAAATGATTGATTATGCTGGCGGCAGTTACTTATATGCTACTCCAGTAAATCAGTGCTCATCTAACTGTACTGGCCAATAAAGAGCCAGATATACTGCCCGATTCACATATGGTCAGGACAGTATGACAGTTACCGTACAGTAATAGATTGATATGAATTCATTTTTAATGCTACACAAAAACTAAAAATAAATGTATTGATAATATAATGTTAATAAAAAAATACGATTGATTAAATTGGCGCCAGTTAGTGTTCTCACGTCCAGTGCAGTTATTGTACGACTAACTGTACTAGCAAAATGTAAACCAGCTTTAATGACCGTTCACACTTAGACTATACAATTGAACATAGTTTTCAATTGAATATCAATCCAGTTACTGTCTAACTGTATTGGCCAAATGTGTCCCAGCATCTACCAGATATTAAGTACTAAACATTTTGTAGCGGTATTCACCATAAGAAATCAAACTGCAACGCGTCAACAGTCATCAGTAAAGTACAGAAATTACTACAAAATGCGAAATCTTATTTATTTCCTTCACGTGTCGCTGTTAGTGCGAGTGCGGGAGGAGCTAAACATAATAAACGACTCGCCAGGGGAAATGGTGGCTGGGGAGATATCAGGTAAGTACAGGGGAAAGACTGACGGAGAATCTTTGTTATTCCACTTATAGTATTACTTGAAACATGTTAACTGTCACATTGCTAAAAGTTTTAGTAGGTTGATTATTGTACAGACGAAGTCAAAGGCGAAAGCTATACTAATATATACTTGCTTCCCGAGACTTCGTTTGTTTGGACTAAAAAACAATAGCCAATGTGTTCTTCCAGACTATCTACATCTATGCTAGATTTTATGGTAATCCTTTCAACGGTTTACCAATCTAACATCCATCCATCTAACCTTTCGCATTTATAATATTAGTAAGATATGTGTTTTTATTTCAGGGATCAAGAATTGTGCACAAATATGACCAAAGTGGACAGACAGATGAGGAAATATTTTCACTTCGCGTAGACATTGTGATACCAAATGACCCATGTACAGTGAACCCCTCTTTAACGTCGTTATTACCCCATATAACGCGTTTCCCCTCTATAATCCAAAAATTACCCTTTTAAAAGGAGATCCTCTATAATGCGATTTAAACCGTCTTATACGGGAGGTTTCTATAACGTGAAAACCCCATATAAAGTGTAAATTACCAACTATAACGTGAGTATTCCCAATGTTTTTTAAAAGTTCTAAAATGCGATATATGGCTCAGCCTGAAAAGCGTTATACGGGGGATCCTGTCACGCGATACTATCGACCGCGTTATAGAGGGGTTTACCGTTATAGTCTTATGAAATAAGAAAAAAACGTCATATTAATAAAAAACCCGACATACATGAATCGAATTTTAGTTTAAACAATCTATCAGTCGGGCTAAATTACAAATAGAATTGATTTTATTTAAATTAAATACGTTTTCAAAACTAACCTAAAACAACGTGAAAATGTACGACCGACCCAAAAATACGGTGCTTTTAGTTGTCTGTTAACATTTTTATAATCTGTTGTAAGAAAATGTCCATCTCTAATCTTTGTATTATAGTTAGTCGCTGGCATAAATCTTTTCTTTGACTATTTTTACTCTTTGATTATTTTAAACTAGCTTTAGCTCTCGACTTTGTTCGCATGTAATGACAAAAAAAACAGTGTATCCCGCGGACATCTATTTCCGGGATAAAGTAGCCTATAATATGCCCGTCTGTCAGTTACCCTTCATTAAAAGTCCGGTCGAAATCTGCCCAGTCGTTTCGGAGATTACCCCTAACAAACGCGGCTTGCGGACAGACAGACAACATTTAAATGCGATTTTCGTTATCAGCAACGTAAATACATCTTCCCGAAAAATGGAATTTTTCTTTTGACATTACAAACACTTCAATTTTATTATATGTATGGAAGATAGTTTTTAAAAAGAAGTTGGGAATTTTTTATTTACTGGCAACTCTAAAATCAAGCAGGCATCTGTCAATGTCAAACTGCCATAATATCCTTGTAAGTCTATACTACTGATTTGGTGATTTGATTTTCGCCATTTTGTCGCTGTTTCTAACGGTTTTTAAAATTCGAAGTATTAAAGTAATTGTTAGTTAAAAGATTTTAAAGCTTTTGTGTGAATTTTTTAGTTCTTTTGATATGGTTTAATAATTATTGGCAAACTAAAAGATTTTCGAATATTTTCGTGAAGTTAGTTTTTTTACTAATTCTTCGTAAACTCTAGCATTAAAATGTGAAATGGTTTTTTAACGAAGTGAATGACCTCATGTGTTTAAAATAACAAAATTTACTTAATTTCGACTTAAAAGCTATATTTGACTAATTCTAGTTGCAAACACGACTTTCGCCAAAATGGCGAAAATCCAAAAGAAACAAAAATTACGCTGTATTCTATACATGTATGTATGAACAAACTGAAATTTTAATTTTAAAATTATAAATGACATTTACGTAAATTATGTCAAAATATTTTTTTTATTGAAGATCAAAAGATATTTTTATTACGCACTCGAATTGAAAGAATTTTGTAACGCAATTTGAAATAATAAGAAAAAATGGCGGGAATTTATGACAGCTGTCAGACCTTTCCTTTCGTATTTAGTTTATACACTGATTTGTATAAATGGATAGGCGAAACGCATCTTTATATGTAAATATCTATCACAAGTTCGAAAATTCGTGATACCTATTGCTATTGTCGCTAAAATGGCGAAAATATACCCAAATAGCTATTGTGACTTCGACTGAAATTAAAATATAATAATAAAAATGTAGCCTATGTAACACAACGTAACTTAATGGTGAAATAATTTTTAAAATAGTCTCAGTTTTTGAGTTATTTCAATACATACAAAAATACAAATCTAATATTAGTATAGATTCTGCAGTTTCCTACCCATTTATAGAAGTCAATGTTTGTCGCCTCTTTTTTACTTTTTTTGTATGCCAGCAAAAGTACTTAGGTAATTGTTGATATTTTAAAAAAAGTATTAATATTATTTTAACAACCAAGTTAAGTTTATTTTAATTTTTACCTCAAATAGAATGTGGAATATTGTTTTTTATTGTAAAAAAAATATTTTCTTATATTGTGATTATTTTTCGAATATTTTTGCGTTTATTTTGGTTTTTTATTTAACGGATAAATGTTTTTTTTTTTTAGGTTAAAAACTCGGAATGTTTCCTAAGATATTATGTGAAGTTTTTTCATGTGACGATAATTGTATAATTGCAAAGTGTAAAGACTAAATTTTATTTTTTATTTTGATTTTTAATTGACTGCCGTACTCATGTTTCTGAACTTTTAATTTTTTTATTGCTGGTTTCTGAAGTTTATATTTTTTATTCACACTAAAGTTTCTATTTTGTTTCTCAGTTTTAAACTAATATTTCTGTTTTTATGGCGCCGATTAGTGTCTTTTTCTGATCATAGATGACTCTGTTATAAATTTATTTGATGGGTCTAATTAAATGTAAATAACTAACTGTTGCTCTGGACTTCGCCTACGTGAAATTAAAAAATATAGCCTATGTTATTCACAGATAAATTACCTTTCTAACGGTGAAAGAATTTTTAAAATCGGTCCAGTAGTTTTTGAGTTATTTCAATACATACAAAAATACAAATCTTTCCTCTTTATAATATTAGTATAGATGAAAGTAAGAATTGAAATATGGTGCTTAATAAAACAGAAAAAAGTTTAATTTTGTTATTCACTTTATTTGTTGTAATGGAGTTCATAAATCTCCACTAAGGGACTTTTAATTATTCCGACTTTGAGTGCGGCAGTAAATTCGTTATTTTAAGAAAATTGTGATTTATTGTTCTAACAGTACGTACATTGTTACCTTAGTTAAAATAACGATTATTTTCTTATGTTTTTAATTTTTTAAACAATAATTTAGTCTTTATTCTAATAAAATAATTATAAACAATATGAAGAAGTGACACTTTAAATTGCCACAATGGCATTTTTAAAAATAGATTTAATACTCGTATTTTAATCAAAGCGCCATCTTTCGTCGACTAGAATAAAACATTACGTTTGTTAACTTTATCAAAAGATGGCGCTTTTATAAACGTGTCATTCGCTTGTTGGTATGTTTTAAGATAAATTAAATCTCCGTTGCCTATATGTGTTATTTTATAACCAAAGATTTAAATACATAATATAGGCACATACCTAACAATATGTCGTTTTATTTAAACCTACCAATTCCTGACAAATACACAATATCCATGAAAAAACACAAATTGTAAGAAAGATCGTTACGCCATAGAAGAGAATTAGAAATGTGCAGTTGTGCAGCGCCTCTAGCGGACGTATAGTGCACCAATAAATTTCATACTTCGAGAACGAATGTTTTCGAAACTTTTTAAAGATGGATCCTTTCCAATTTTATGTCTTTTTGTTTTAATTATTAACCACAATAGAGCATCTTTACAGAATCTAACGTGATACTTTTTATTGAAACAACTCAAAACTGGACTGATTTTAAAAACTTAACCGTTATAAAGGTAATTTGTGAGTAGCATAGGCTTTATTTTTCAGTTCACGCGAGAAAAACCGTAGCAACAGTAACAAATAAAAACAGACAATGAAAACTTATCTAAACTCCCAAGAGATTCATAAAATATATCGAGTCATAGTTAACTTTTTAAGATATTTTTCTCACTAACGATTGACAGAACAAAAGCAATGTCAATTTATTGTAATTAAACTAATTACTAATAGGTGACATTAACCAGTATTTAACTATTTATATTTCATTTTTTTACCTCTGTTTCGTTTATTTAATAACAAAACTAGCTTTCGCCAGTGACTCCGTCCATGTGCATTTAAAAAAAAAGTGATTAGCATATGTATTTTACAAGACTATCCTCTACATCTATGCCAAATTTCATCGAAATCCCTTCAGCTGTTAGGTTACAAATTCTAACAAACATCCATCTGAACTTTCATTTTTATCCCTTAAATGCATGATTTTTTTTTTTATTATTTAATTATAAAATCAATATTTCAGTATAGGCTTTGAGTCACAGATTAAGGTAAAAATAATAAAAAAAAGTATGGTTTCAATAAAAACTATAATTTTGTTCGTAGACTTTTGGCAACAATATGCATTTAAGGGTTATATTAGTATGATGAGGTGCTTATCATAATTTCAAATGTATTATTTTTCAAACTTCACCTTTCAGAGTATTTCTTTTAAATGTCTTTGTAAACTTTTAGATATAATTAAAGGATATTTTATTATTGACAAACGTATTTTGGTATGTCTTGATGTTCAAAATTCCTTCTATCTTTATCCACGAGTTTTAACGATGTCAAAAGTGCTCTGAAGCGTTACGAGAAAATAGTGCTTGCACACATATACAAAAACCAAGATAAAAACAAATAAAACACAATACAATCAAAACAATTTATTATCCATAGAAAAATATTACATCTTATAAATACAATGTCTTACATTCGTTGCATTCACTAACTTATCTCGCGATTTTGTCTGCACAAAAAAATCTTACTGATATTAAAAATGCGAAATTTTAGATAATTGTTACTACATATTTACAAAACTGTTAACAAATCTAAAATTGGGTATTATTCCCAACCGTCACCCTATGTCCCCACGTGGGGACAGATGAGAATAGTTTCAACCGTCCCACCTTTTGCGACGAAAGGACGGTTGGAACTTATATAGTAACGGTTCCGTCACCTTATTGGTGATAGTAGGACTAAAAGGTGGGACAGAGAAGAATTTTTATTCTCACGTGGGGACAAACTGGGTGACGGTTGAGAATCCGAAATTGGTCACAGATGTCGACCGTAGTAAGGTACTAAAGTTTTTTTTTCTTTTGCGCCGACAAAGTCGCGGGCAACAGCTAGTCTAGTAATAATTATAGTCTGACACCCTGTGATTGCTTAAATTTCAAACAGCGTAAGATTTTTTAAATTAATTCTGTAATTCGAGAGTTCAATCAATAGAAATAAATATTATATTAATTCCTTTTCCCTTCCTACTCTTTACACGGAAAGGATGGGAAGGGAACGTGAATTCAACAGAGGATAATACATAAGAAGGGGAACTACCCTCTCTTAGCACCAACAAACATCATCTGCTTTTATGGTCTTAAGTTGAAAAAAATGGTGATCACAAACTGCTTTACTAAAATTAGACTTACAATCAGGGATTTAAAAATATACAGGGTGTCCGGAAAACACATACAATGGACTATCACAGATTTCTTTGGTCGAAAATAGTACCCAACGAACCTCTATCCAGAATTTCTTCGTTTGTGGCTAGAGGACTCTAAAGTTTGCAAAATATCTTAAATTGATTCAAAACCAGCTGTTTCTCGCGATTTCGCTTACAAAAAATTAAAAATATAGTAAAAACGTAGCCTAAGTTAGTCAGTAATAATGTAGTTTTTTAATGGTGAAAGAATTTTATAAAATTGCCCCAGTAGTTTTTGAGTTATTTCAATAAAAAATACAAATCTTTCATTTTATTTACTAGCTTTCGCACGCGACTCCGTCAGCGTAGCATTGAAAAAAAAACAAAAGTAAATAGCCTATTTGTTCTTCCTGACTATCCTCTACATCTATACCAAATTTCATCGAGATCCGTTCAGCAGTTAAGGCTACAAACGCTAACATCCATCCATCTAAACTTTTGCATTTATAATATTAGTAAGAAGTAAGATATGGATTGTGTTTTTGAGATTTCAAACCCCTTGATGATTTTATAACAAAGGTATCTTCCACAAAATGGTGTAGTTGTAACCAAAACTATGGTTACAATATGAATAAAATTTATTTAAGGAATTTTGAGATATTTCAATAAATTTATACTAATATTATAAAGAGGAAAGATTTTTTTTTTGGATTTTTGAATCATGTAAAAACTACTAAGCCAATTTTAAAAATTTACCATTAGAAAGGGAATTTTTGAATCATGTAAAAACTACTAAGCCAATTTTAAAAATTTACCATTAGAAAGGGAATTATGTGAGTAAAGGGCTATGTGTTTTATTATATTTTAATTCCTGCGGGAGAAGTCTCAAGCAACAGTTGGTAGTCTTCTAGCGGCAGAAGCAACATTGGATAGAGGTAAATTGGCTCAAATCTTTTCGAGCAAAGAATCTGTGGTAGTCAATTGTACTTCTTTTGTGGACACCCTGTATATATTTCTAAATGTCTGTTATGTACTAAAGCGTCGGTGGCTCAGTGGTTTGAACACTGGACTTGTAATCTACAGGTCTTGGGTTCGAATCCCGCTGTACCAATGTGATTTTCGATTTTTCGAATTTTCATATGTACATAATTTACCCG